ACACTAGGTGGCGTCAAAACAAGTTGGCTTTTTAAAACATTTTTTCGAAAAACGCGAAGGCAGGCCCATCACAGCAGGAATGTACAATTGTGGCAGCAGCCGTTGGGAAATGATGAAAGCGTTCGCAAAAACAGCCTTTCGAGAGTTTTCCTTTGTACACCCTCTTCAGCTGTTTGTTTTCCGAGGGCGGCGGCGGCGGCGGGGTTCAGTGCCAGATTAAAGAAAACACTGCCCGTCTGCTCGCTTGGGGCACTGGTCCCCAGGCCTAGTCCTGCGGGGAGTTTTCTATCTTCTCAGGTTTTTGCTCCACCCGATTGCTGAATCGCAGGTTGATTCGATTCTCATTTTCTGTCGAAGGGCGAATGTAAAAATTTGCGCTCAGCGCTGAAAAAGGCGAAAGGGTTGGTAAGTGGTGTTGAAGCAACAGTCATGTTTGTCAGAGCTGCCCTCTTTCTCACAGTGACCCAGCCAGAAAGTGTCCACCTGAACTCAGCCAGGAGAAAACACCCCCCTCTTCTTGCCAGAAGACTCTGATAGATTGTCCATTCCCGAATGTATCTCGGCCTGTCACAAACTGGTCACCTACTAAGAGCTGTTTAGACAGAAACAAGGAAGTTAAGGAGAGGGCATTACATTCTATATGCATGGGCTGCTGGACATAATCAGCCTTCTTGGAACTCAAGTCTGAACAAGCATGCCGACCAGTTACATGCACCAATTAGAACCGGAGATTAGGGGATAAAGTGGCGGGAAAACCGGGACCTGCACGGAGAGTATTGGAGCAAACGTGACTAGTATCTTGTCAGCAGATTTTTTACCAATAAAAGACGCCACAATTTTTAGACAAGCAGCAAAAGGAAAAAAAGGAAGTATAAAAGAATACGTTGCGCAGCGCAAATAAGGTATACTCATTACGATATAAATCGGGTTTATTGTAGGAGGGCACGTCCGCTGTTGATCTGGAGCAGCGATCCGGCGAGTCACAGACCGGTCCTGCATGCAAATGCGTATGGGAGGCTTGTAGAATTCCACTGAATGTCAGGACACCGACTTCCTCACGGCGTTCGTTTCTGGGAGCTACAATGACTCTCCGCTGCGGATTTTAATGGCGAGACAAATGTCAAGGCGCTTTTAAGCGACCATTACAAGGCGTTTAAATTGGTATCCACTGGAGGATTCGAGTAGAAAGCTTCGAGTGTTGCACCGGCGGAAGGAAAAAAGGGGGGGCTCATTTACAGTACTCTCAGCCCAAGAGGCTTTCTGGAAATACCAGTTATGTAAAACTGTGTCGAGGCAGCCAAGCAAGGACCCCGGACCCCGAGTTAGAGGAAACTTAGAGGAAGCGTGTTTGATTAAAAGAAGTGGTGTGCGTTTTGTATCTCTATGGCTCCTGCCACGAAGCAGGCAGCAATCGGAAAGATGTCGGAGCGGGTGTTATAGAGCTAGCTGTCACAGTCGTCGTTAAACCCACCGAGCAAGCGGACTTCTCGACAAAGAGATAAGAGCACGTCAAAATGTCGATTTGATACATTCATTTGGAAAGCGGAACAAGAGTTCTTAGTATTCCACCGTGTTTCCATCGAGGGTCGGGTCGTTTTTTACGCCAGTCATCGACAGAACGCGACCCCACAGCTTTTTGGATTTAGAAGGTGAAGTTACCGAGGCTCTCAAGAAAGTAGGAAATTAACAGTCGAACCGGTGCCGCTTGCAGTGCGCTAACAAATGTGGCCAGATCGCTGTGTGCAGGGAAGTATTTGAATCCGCGCTTGCTGTCCGGTACTAAACATACGGTTAAAAGCTCCCATCGGCATTCAGCCTGGTTGTCTCTTTTATCCAAAGCGAATTGCATTTGTACTCACACAGCAGCTGTGTCATTCCTGAAGCAATCGGTGCCAGGTACTTTGCTCAGCGGTCCAACAGCTGCTGGCATGCGCGCACTTGAATAAATAAACTGCACGACTAAATGCGCAGCTCAAACCCACAAACGTGTAAGCGTGTTTATTTAGCGAGTGGACGTAGTGAAATAGATTTGCTCTTACCTGCGGCCGGTGCGTCAGCAACGCGCGTCCGCGTGCGGCGTGCTGCTCTGCCTGTCGGATTGGCCGTCACGCCGGTGGAGCGAGGCAGTCTCTCTCTCTGCAGTTCAGCTTGTAGCCCCGCTTTTAAATTCCAAACCCAAGTGTTAGGGAAAACGCACACTGTCCCCCTTCAGGGCCGAGACAAAAATTCCTGAAAGGGCAAGCACAAACAAAGCATAAACCCTCTAAAATTCCCTGTCAGGAGCAGAGAAATAACCACATTGCCGGTGGTGTGCGTTGGTTTTTATTCCAGGCACGGGTGATGGAAAAAAAAATAAAAAATAAATGTAAAATGTAAAACGGTGCAGGGGAAGCCCAGTTAAACCGTCGCTCCCGGTGGTATTGTGTCTCAGGTGTCCAGCTTCAGTCAAGTGCTCCGCCGCCTGCGTTCTTAAACCGTGAAGTGAGTCTGGGAGGCAGGGAGCGCATCGCATTGTGGTTGTGAGAGTCGTGTCCGTCCCGCACGCAGCTTTTGTGTGTGGGCACGCCCCGGCAGAGCCAGCGTGTTTATCTCCTGGAGGAAGAACGGCAGGTGATGTGTTTTTTTTTTTATTTTGAGACGCCATCCGAGAGGACACGGCGTGCTGAGTGACACATTATACAAATGAGCTTCCCAGGAGATAAGGAACTGCTACAGTCTGGCTTGATCAAAGTCCGGCCCGCGTTATGTACAGACACAAACCACCTCTCGGTGGTTTGGTTTTTGTAATTTATAACTTTAAGTTGAAAACAAGTCTTCGATACGCTTTTGGAGACGTGGAAAAGCAGCATGAAACACAGCGTTCCCCCAGCATGAAACTTTCCTCCTTGCTCATCTTTAAAACGTCTGTTTAGTTAACGCTGAATTTTTTGAACAAAATTATAAACTGTTCAGGTTTTGTTCAGTCATTGTTCTAGTTTTTCGGAATGTGTATGCGTTACTTGACCCTTCTGTGTTTAGAGAACAGTGTGAAAAGCGATAACATCGTGGAACACAGTGTGCACAATGGCCTGTAGCCAAAAGTATCATTTTCCCTCAATTTTCATAATCAACAACTGCCCAGCAAACTGCTCACACATGACTGGACTGTGGACACTTTTAGAGCCACTGCTGTCCCTCTCCTCTCCCTCTCCTCTCACACTCACCCTGAATTCACCAGCACACACACACTCTGTCTCAACTGACTGTACTGTAGACACTAAGAACGCCATTTCTGTCTCAAATTTTCAACTAGCTTGTGAATCAAAATCAATGTAGTCTTCTATATCTACTAGCGCACCATCCCAAACTGTTATCAGAGCTGAGGTACGTTCCCCCAAAATCACATAGAGCCCTGTGAGCCGTAACAGCTGACGGCACATGAGAAATCCGTGAGGGAGTTAACGCTACTTCCAAACGGACTTTGCCATGTCCAAAATAATACTAAGACTTCCAGTCTCCCTACAGGAAGACTAAATGCTTACATGTGTGCGAGGAGCTGAGAGCACAGGCTCGGCACCATGTTTTGTTTGGGTTGTACCCAAGCATTGCGGTCTGGCTCCTGGTCTCTCTGGGGCCTCCAGAGAGTCAGTGGCAGAGTCAGTCACCATGACGACGTTGCTTGGCAACTCCTCACGCCCCCGTGCCCCACACCTCCTCTGCTGCTAGCCAGACAGCACACGCCATCTTCCCAGCCTGCTTCAGTCCACCGAGCCCCAGAATAAACCCAGGGCACTCGGTCTGTCCCCCGAGACATGGCTCCTCTGGAGAGTGCAGTAGCAGACGTGGCCTTGCTGGGTCATGCATGGGCCTTTGTTTTCAGTTAATTAGTGTGCAAGCTTCCCTGCCTCCTCATCTTCTTCCTCCTTTGCCTCGTCATCATCTTCTGTGCATCATCACCACCCCCTCCTTCTTCCTGCTGTGTCAGTGCTGACGGCTTCTCTTTCCACAGGGTTTCCAGCCATGGTCTCAGAGACGCTCATTGTCCTTCCTCCTGAGCTCTGGGCGAGTTAGTGGGCTGCCCGGTCAGCTGCTTCATTAGGAACAGTGACCAGGTTGCCTGGGTTAGTGCTCACTGACCATTGAAGTGTCTGTCAAACCTGAGGTCCCTGGCTTTCCAGGACCAGCACTGGACACCACTGGCTTGCAACACACAGAAGGTTTTTTGTGTATTGTTGACATGGGTATGCCTTTAAAGCTTCTTTTGCAAAGTTTTTTTTAACATGATTACAATGGTGGTCGGCCATTTGTCTAAAAACTTGTGGTGCCCCCATCAAAACAACCAAATGTTTAAACCTTGAATATATATCCTAAACTATTTTACCTCTGCTCCATTTTTAGTGGAAATTCAAGCCCATATCACGCAGTTTAAAGGAAGTGTATAAGACCAGACTTATCTCAGTGCTTTGAGAGCAGTCTTCTCGTGGAAAGAGAAGCCACATTTAAGAAGCAGGAATCCTTTGCAGTGCACAGTCCTGTTTACCATGGCCTGCTCTGTTGCAGAGCCCGGATTTGAAGCCAGTTAATGAGGGATTCCAGCTCTGTGTGTGAGCCAACGTTCGTCAGCTGTGAGCAAACCTGCCCTTCATGCTGCAGAGTTATGGGTCTTAAAAGGGCTGCAGTTATATAACCCCAGTTCCTCTTAGCATGAGTGTGATTGCACATGCGCCTTTCTTTTTAGTTCTGGGGCTCTGCCAAGGAAGGCAGACCTCCTCCCCATTCACATACACAGCCACCATGGAAAATGCTTCCTTGTATTTGATCTGAAAACACAGGATTTGTTTACAGTAAAAGCCAGGGAGGATCCTATTCCAGTACAGGCACGGCCTGATGCACACGTACACATCCCTGCAGGCACAGCACATGCCTGCTGGACACGGGATGAGGAGTGCTTCTTCCTGCTCCGACCCCAACTCCTCACCCCTCCTAGAAGAGAGGCTTCATTTTGTGTTAGGAAGCACTGAAATTAAAAGATGCTTCTCTACACAAAGAGTGGTGAGTGCATGGGGGGCACCTCAGAGCAGAGCTGTGTGTTTCTCCCTGAAGACAGTGTGGCACTTACAGTGCTGACAGCCTGTCCTACAGCGAGCGCAGTGTGCTCATGTGTATTTATTTTGAAACACGTGCAAATCCGCGTGTGTCTTTACTGCTGTGCGTCTCTGGCCTGTAAATAACCGTTTGTAAACAAACATGCACTATCTGTTGCTGGTTGGGGCAAAAAATGGTCTGGAGTTCAAAAAATAGGGTGTGGCACTCAGAACTGATCTGATACAAGCTGCTTAACTGTACAAAGTTTAGTTGCCCCCCTCCAGCTTTTAAGATTTAAAGAGTTGGAAAGCTGTAAGACTCTGACAGGCCTGTCTTTTCCACTGGACTCGCTTGCTCCTGAAATCTGTCAATCCTAGACCTGCTGTGATTGTCCTCCTCACTCATGGACCTTCAGTGCAATGTGAGTCTTCTGGGGTGCTGGATGACTGAACTGAGTTAATGAGTGACTTCATTGACCCTAATGGCAACAGTCTCAGTCTCTGGAGAAAGAGCACTGCTGTCCATGGTCACCTGCAACACACTGGCTTGAGCTGACACCCCTGATGAATGGATGAATGGCTGAGGAATGCCAGAATTCTGGACCTCAGCAGCGTTGCAGAGCAGAGACCTGGAAACCAGGATCCGCAACCAAAGACGGGATTAAACTCAAGTGCCATTCACCAGCTTCAAGAGCTGGAGAAGCAGCTCCGATGTTCTTCATACGTTTTTTTTTCCCCTAAACCGACAAGTGCTGGCATTTGCATATCTAACTGACAGTAGTTTTCAATCTTTAAGTTAAACTGGGACCCGAACTGCTTTATGTTTAAGGTGGCACTGACGATAATAATTTCATTGCCAGTCATTGCTGCTTCTGACCTATTCTCCCCCCGGGATTCACAACACACTATTTACGTATAAACTATTCTGGTTTATTTTTAAAAGCAGGGCAGTAAGATGTAGTACCCAAGAAACAGAACCATGTTGGCAGCGTGCGGGATAAGAAATGAAGTTCAATGGACACAAAAAGCGCTCAAGGTTGATCTATAAATCAACCAGAACCCCCTAGCTTTTAACTCTTTCGTTACACCTCGTTACATCGAGCGCTGATTTTGAACGTTAGAAGAATTTATTGTTGCCTAAATGGACTATTACAGCAAAACGGCCAGACCTCCTTCACCGTGGGGTCTGTGGTCAGATGGACTAGCGCGTTTAACTACTGCGGGGAACAGCTCGACAGTTTTCGGACAGCTGGCCTCGGGGTTCACACACGTTCAGAACCAGCGAGCACGTTACAGACGAACACTGTCGCTTCATTTTCACATTCGGATGAAAAACAGCTCCGTTTTCAAAACAAGGTTAAGGTCACAAAGTGTCATCTCTCAGGGGGCGCGACTGCCAGTGCACCAGAACGGGCAAAACAAACAAGAAAAAGTTTCATAAGCAAACATCAGTTCAGTTTTTTCTCTCTCTCTCCTCTCCTCGGCCCCTATCTCTCCGTCGCCACCGCCAGTCCCAGCGCTATCTGCTCCGACACACACGGCAGGAGAAACGGCAGCCGGCGCTGAGCCGGGAGGGTGTTTTTGTTTTTCAATTCGAATGCCCCGGGTTGTTTAGAGGGAAGAAATATCCATTCCGATGGCCTGTTCCGAAAGCGACTTTTGTCATCGGCTGTGCTGCCTTGTCACCTCCTTTGTCCGCTCCGACAGGTACTGTGACTTGCGCGCGCACGAAGCCCGAGAGAGGTTTAGAAGGGGCGTGACGTTAATCTCGTGTGCTGTCTGGAACAACAGATGACCAGTCACAGGCGTGAGGAGGCCTTTCAGCCACTTTCACCCGCTAACTGATCCGATAGCCTTCATCCAGCCGCTTCTTGGATGATCGGTTTCGCAATAAACACTAACACTAGACGTCAAGTGCTTGTAAACTTGTTCTGAATCATAAAATATTACATGGTGTAATATGGTGGTTCTTAGATGTTACTGTTTTAGTAGTAAACAGAAGTTCAAATTAATGCTTGGAGACACTGAGCATCCTGGTGCCACACTGAATTGTAGTATCAAATAGTTGTGCCCGAGTGTACGAGCTCAGGGGGGAAAAGCTGTCCTTTGCAATACTGCGTAGCTCTAAGAAGGCACTGTTTCCGTATCCGAATTCGGTTGAGTTAGCCAAAGCCGAAATGTAGAGAGACTTAATTTCTGCAGTGTAAGGAAAACTGGCTGTTATTTTCTACATCTCTCTGCTCTCCTCCCCACTGTTAGCTGGTGTGTGGTGAGGGTACTGGCGCACTATGGCTGCTGTCGCATCATCCAGGTGGATGCTGCACACTGGGGGTGGTGGAGGGGAGTCCCCATTACCTGTAAAGCACTTTGAGTGGAGTGTCCAGAAACCCCCGAATTACAAACTGCGTTTTGATTCTACGCAAGAGGAAGTTACCGCTATCAAGAAGTGGCTTTGTGAATTGATGTTCGTGCATCGATTAACTATTCGGCTCCATTCCAGTTCTAGGCTGCAGTGACGAAATAAATAAAAAGCAATTTGAATGACACCCCCCCGTCATTAATAACCGGCCCTGTTAAATTACCTCGAGCAGGATATCGATGATCGTGTACAGTTTGCATACACGAGCCGTCACCACCACCTCAGCAATTTCCCTACGACTTGATTACCATAATGTGGGATTTCTGCCCGTCATCGTGACTCACCTGCGCTGTCACCGTCTGCATTCCACCGGCTCTCGCGCGCAAGCTTCTGTGCGCGTCTCTTTACGGTATTCGTTTGGATACGTCTGTTTATTTAACTAAAAGAATCAATTTATCAACACCCCCAGCTCTCCAAAAGATATGTACTGTGCGAAGGCAGTCCTGTGACGAAAGGCACATGGGAGCTTTTGGACCCGTCCGGGCTTACTCGCCTATATCTGTCCCGGTACCGCAGTCTCAATTATCTGAACAGCCCGAGATAAAACGCGCCTCTCGGTGACGGGTAGTAACGGGGACAGTGTCCTTTGACCTCAGGCACGCGATTCCATTCACAGCCGCCTCGGGGACACTCAAAACCCCTGGAAGTCCTACAGCACCCTTCACGAGCTGGGGCGGAGCAGCGGACACGAAGCGCTGAGCTCCGTGTTCGCCTGTTCTATTCGACGCGAATGGATTTTCAGTTGGGTGGGGTGGGGGGGTTGAACGAATATTTTTAGAAATCCGATAAAAGGCTGAAATGTTAAGATGAATTCCAATTCAGTAAATCGAAGTGGGTCTTTCGCGTCTTCTATTGGGTCAGCATGTCCTCAGTCCCCGGAACTAAAACGTAACAGCACCATCAGCGAAATCGAAGGTATTTCCGCAGATCGTCCACAGAAACGGACTTGTTCAATGAGGCTGATGGCAGACGGGAGGGCGACAGCAGGTGTCAGAGGTTTGTGTTGAATGGCCAGTCTCCCTAAGGGCTGATGCGTTCCTCACCCGTTAATCGCAGTTCCGAGATGAAGTGTGGTCATTGCCGGACAGGTCTGACTGGCCCTAAGGCTGAGAGGGGTTGGGTTCAGAAATCTAATCCCAGAGTTCCCACACCTGCCAAAACCACAACAGGTCCCAATCCTACTGGGAGAGGGAGGAGGGAACTCAGTTGATCTGGCAGC